AATTGGAGGTAAAAGTTGCATAATAAGTCATCTTGGCCCGGTCACGTGACCAGATGACAAATTTATGAACTTTTTATTTTAATATTTATTTCAAATTGTTATATTTGCAAATTGAAAATTCATGCCGACAATGAAAGAATTTAATAACATAAACATACTGAGAAATTATTATGTCTTCACGACTTATAGTTTTGCAACAACTCAGGGCTTTCAAAACGTTCGCCATGTTGCCCTGCTTTCCCCCATATATATATATATATATATATATATATATATATATATATATATATATATATATATATATATATATATATATATATATATATATATATATATATATATATATATATAATATATATATATATATATATTTAATACTTTTGTACTTTTTATTTTTTAATATTATTATTTTATTATTATTATTATTATTATTTTCAATGTTTCTATTCTTGTTATTTATATAATTTTGTTCAATTTCTTTTTATTACAAAATTAACATACAATATTACAATAGAAGAGTTCCAAAACTTAAAAACTTAAACATGTCAAATAATTCACAAGATTAAACATGTTAAATAATTGTTTGTTGATAAAAAGAATATCCATTATATAAAATACATATACTAATATAGATAAGAGATTTTCAAAAATTTTTAAATAGATTAGTATATTTTTAGTTGAAAAAATGAGTTTTTTAAGAGTTCGTTTAAAATAATCAAAATTACATTCATGAAAAATATATTTAGAAGTATTTAGAACTATACTGTTCCATAAAAATGGTCCGCGAAATGTAATAAAAAATTTTCCAATATTAGTTTGAGAAAATGGTTGTCGAATTAAGTTATCGTTCCTTAAAATATTTTTATCTCTATCTTTTTGTAAATACAAGTTACGAAATGAAACGGGTGATAGGTGGGTCTTGCATTTATACATAAAACAAAGAATATTAAAAACATTTAATTCATATATATTGAGTGCTTTCATATTGTATAAAAGAGGCTTGGCGTGAGCAAAACGGTCCTTGAAATTTATAAGGCGTGCTACATGCTTCTGTTGCCGATAAAGATATTTAGGTTCACTTTTATAAGTGCTACCCAAGCAATGTTTGCATAGTTAATATGACAATAAATTAACTAATAATATAACTGAATTAAGGTATGCTTATCAAGAACGTTTCTTATTTTGTATAAAATGCCTATACTCTTTGAAATTTTATTGCACAAGTTAGTAATATGGCTTTTCCATGTAAGATTTTCATCGATATATACACCTAAAAATCTTGTCACTAAAAATTTTTAATAATTATTTTATAGATAAAAAGAAAAGGTAAGTTTTTAGCACCTGGTACATTTTACCATAAAACTGAAAAAAAATCCATTTAGTTTTATCAATATTTAATGATAGTTTGTTTAATCTGAACCATTCGGAAATCCTAACTAGTTCAATATTCATGTTGTTAAAAAGTGTAGAAATGTTATTATGAGAAAGAAATAAGTTGGAATCATCAGCAAACATAATTGTCATTAGGTTTGAAGTTTTTGGTAGATCGTTAATATATATTAGAAATAGGAGAAGTCCTAATATGGATCCTTGAGGAACTCCACGTGAAATACTTAACAAATTAGATGATATATTATCATCCGCATAAACAAATTGTTTTCGATTATTAAGGTAACTTTTTAACCATATTAATATATTTACAGTAATTCCGTACCACTCCAACTTTTTAAAAATATTTTGTTATCAATAGTATCAAAAGCTTTCGCCAAATCAATGAAAACACCTAAAGTAAATTGAGATTTTTCAAATGAGTCAGATATATTTCTTGTAAACTTTAATTTATTGACGTGACAACTGGTAAGTGGGGCGATAGAGAGAGTGGGGGGCAGGTCTAAAATTTACTTCATTTTGGATTTTGTACTGTTTAACTATTTTTTTCTTAATTAATTTTTTTAAACTGATTTCGAATTACTTAATAATTTTTTTTCTTCATAAATATTTAGCCTTCTACTTTAATTTTAATAAAAGTGATTATTTTGACAAAACGATCAATTGTTAAGTTAAATGAAATCATTATTATTATCAAAATAGAATCCATAAGAAATATTTTTCTTTTCATTTTATCAATAAAATACGATGTCATTATGTGTAGTTGTAAATACAACAAAAATTAGCCATTATGCATGAAATTGCAGCAATTGGAGGACTTTCTCAGAACCAAGAGCGTGGTGCAGCAATATGAGGACATTCTCAGAACCAAGAGTTATGAGGTTCGATGTCGGCTCTGACCAGATAAACAACATTGGTAAAGAAGGAGGTGTGAACTTTCTAGTTAAATTGCACCTTAACAACTTAAAAAAAAAAAGTCATTGTAGGTGATTGTAGATTGTTGTGATTTCTAAAAAAGTTTATTAACTTTGATTTATTTGTTTACTAGTTTAAGATTTATTTATTTACTAAATTTGTTACTTCTTTTTTATTTTTTTATTTATTTTTTAGTTAGTTAAATTACACGAAACGGGTGAGTTCCATAAACGCATTAACAGCTAGCCGTACTAGCTCGTGTGATATTGCACGGAAGATGATGAGCTGTAGTAACTATGGTATCTGATTGAGTTTTGCTTCAAAACAATTGACACTGATAGCACTGACTTCGTTTGACAGTGCATCTTGTCTTGTAATTGAAGCATTCATTCATACTTTGGTAGCCCGATGCTGACTGCGTTCTATGATGTTTATATCTTTTTCAAAATGCACTGACTGCAAATTCAAGATAAGAGAGTATTAGGTGATGTAAAGTTTTTTTTCCATATTTTGGTGTCTCTGCTAATGAATGTGTTTTCAAGATTCCTAGGACGTTGTTGGCCTTGGCAGCAGCTTTTTTGCTTTTTTGCTAGAAAAAATAGTTTGTTTTCCCCCAATTCAATATGGTTACTTTCAATTTCGCCCTACTAACAGGATAAATTCGGCAAGATTCGAGAAAAAATTTTCTTTCCAAGTAAAATCAGAAAAATTACAAAAATCATGAAATCTTAAGTAAACTCAAAAATCATAATTCTACAAAACATAATAAATCATGCGAATTGGAAACATTGATTTTAGACTTTTAAAAATAACTTAGACAATTTAGTCAACGGTCAAACAATTTTTAAACAGGTTAAGGGTTTTTAATGACATTCAAAATAAGGTTGCCGATTTTCATAAAAATCTAGACCAAAAAAAAAAATTTGCGCATGCGTTTTTATCTCCTAATTTTGAATGGTATTAAATATCGAACACTCGTCATAAATATATTTTCTGCAATACTTTTTATGACACAAAGCTATCAATTACTGAAAATTTAATACGATCTACATAAGGTAAAAATATATTTTCTGATTTGTATTTTGTTGTTCTTTTATTAAGTTAGTTTTTTTAAATTAAAGTATTATTTGAACTTATTAGTATTTTTTGCTGCTAGTAAAAAATTAAGAGATAAACCTTTTGTTATTGCTGCCAAGAACGTTTTAAATATTTCAAATACAGATAAAGCAACTAAATATTCAGCAAACGAAGCACTGGCTTTAATAATTGATTCAAAAGCTTCCTATGAATTGATTAGAAGTGGAGCCTTGGAGAAAGAACATCTACCCCGCTTACAATGATGTCAGGGATGCAAAATTGAATTATCTTACAAATATAACAGCGGAGAAATATTCAGCTTCAGTTTCTTTAAAAGGTTTAATGATTCATACTTTGCAAAGAATCTGTGCAGTTCAGGAACCTGTGCTGAGGCACTTGATATTGACTGACAAAGCAATAAAAACAATGACACTCACGTGTAAGGGTAGTTTAGATGGTGCTACTGGCAAAGCATTTATAAACAAGTTTTATTAAAGCATTTATAAACAAGTTTTAACCTGGCATGAACAGAGGTCTAAAGCGTGAAGAATCATTGATTATGATTGAATTAAATTAACAACGTTTCTCATAATTAATTTGTAGTTATTACACAATTTAGTATTAACCCTCTGTCGGGCGCAACTGATCTAACAGTCACATGCTTCATTCATTCAACAAGCAACGATTGTAATACTTCAAGACTGATTTTGCAGCATATGAATAACAGCTAAAATTCTGGGTATAGATCAAAACCTTATATTCAGATTTTACATTATCATGGTAACACTACATTCAGGATATAAACTAGATGGCCTAAAATTCAAAAATTATTGTTTTGACACTGTTAGACTATATGCGTCCCTTTATCCATATTATTACATGGCTCAATCTGTACACAAAGTGCGCATACATAGACATGGCATAATTAAAAGCCTTACATCACCCATCAGACTTATGTCAGAGGACGCTTAAATAAAGACTTCAAACCAAGTTCATATTATATAGCACGTCATATCATTTATAATAAATGACATCATAATAGTTTTAGAGCGTATTGTAAAAGATTGTTTAACATAGTATCTATGTGCAAATAATCTCAAAATCAGCACAGATTTGTTCCAAATAAATCATGCATTACCAATTTATTGGAAACTGTCGATTAAATGTCACACTCAATAGCAAAAGACTATAGTGTAGATGCTTTGTATATAGATTATGAAAAAGCATTTGACACACCTCCTCACTACCCAGTGGGAAAAAAGACGTCGAAACGACGTCTTTTTTCAATCGATTATGCAAATCTTAAAGACATTTTTTTCGACATCGAAAAGATGTCTTTTTTTATCTTAATCTTGTCATGAAAAGTCAAAAAAAAAGCGTCTTTAAGACGCCTTTTTTTAGTCGAATATGCAAATCTAAAAAAGTGTTTTTTCTCGGGGTCGAAACAACTTTTTTGCCATACTTATTAGTATATTATTGTATCCTATACACTATAGTATTCCTACTTTTCTTATATGAAAAGCTATTTTTTTCAACGGAAAATGATAATAGCTCTTCATAAAAAGTATGACAAAAAGCTTTTTCCGATGCCGAGGAAAAAACCCTCTTTTAGATGTCACTATAAAAGAGGAAGCATTTTCTACAACTTTTATATGTTTAAATATAGGAGAATAATTTATAAATAAAACAATAGTATTGTTCAGCAGAATATTTTTTCATCTTTCTCTTTCTTTTCTGCTTCTTGAGCGAGCTCTGTTTCTTGGCGTTGTTGAATAAAATTAACAATTTCACGTCGAGAAATCCTTTCATACGAGCAGGTTACGACTTCTAGCTGGTTACCGCTTCTAAAAAACGAGTGAACATAAAAAACAGTCTAAAAAAGCAAACGAAACTTAATTAGCTGAATGGAGCACATTATACTTACTGACTATTAATTCAAAAAGGGCTGATCCTTTTAATCACTCCTGTTTCCAGCGCGGTCCCTTCTTTTTGAAGCCACTAGGTTAGATTGGGACAGGAGTTAAACGGTAAACAGTCTAAAAATATATAAAAATGAGTGTGCTAAATAAATTTACAACCATCAAAAAGACTGTACAACGATGTATTTTATTATGTAATACTTAAACCAAGCTAAACATTTGCACCTCTCAGATTTGCTATGAAAGCCAAGTTATTGAAAACAGATATTGATATTTTTCTGTATTCTATAACATGATTTTTTAATTGAATTTTGCTAAAATTAAGTGTTGTAAACTCATAACAATTTAAAAATCCGTTATTGACTAAAGACTATCAAAACAAAAAGATAATTCAGCTAATACACCTTGAGAGTAGTTATTCATTTAAACTATAAAAAGTATTCGTCAAAGCTCTATTTTAGCCTGAAACATAAGGATGCTTTGCTTAACAACATAAAAACTGGCGATATCATTAGCAACACAGATGAAATACACATAAACAAAAATGAAGACTAGAAAGCTGCAATGATGTTTAGATATAAAAAAGTGTACCTTTCTAGTATCATTTTCACTTGGTTTTTGTATCCAAACCAAAAATTTTGCGAACATTTCTATAGAAAAATCTGTTGTCATTATGTGTATTTTTATAATTGCTTTATTAATGACAACAGTTAACAGGAAATAACATATTTAACATAAAAGTTGAAGAGCCAATCTTTTGTATAAACAATTTCATCATTCAACTAAATAAAATAACAAAATTATTCAGATCATTTAAAAATACATTAAAAAAAAAATTGCAAGCCTACTGAATGCTTCTTTTTTTCTATCGTTCGTTTCACTGGCACTTGAACAAGTAAATATAGAGAGAAATTGTTTACATGTTTTATTTTTCGTCTGAAAATAAATATTTTAATTTAATATGTAATAAACGTTTTTCAAGCACAATACATTAAAAAATTAGTCTAAAAATATATGGTAAAACTTTTTTTAAACACTTAACTGCGACTAACTTAATTAAGACTAGATCATATCGATACCATCTTACTGGCACCACGCTATCCACTTTTGCTTCTTCCGATTAACATTTTTAAGCTAAGCAGCTGCTATTGTATATTTATTTCAGTATATATATATATATATATATATATATATATATATATATATATATATATATATATATATATATATATATATATATATATATATATATATATATATATATATATACTATAATATATATGCATTTAGATTATGTATATTTTTCATAATATATTACTTTATTATATAAATTATTAAATAAACCCGCTTATCGAAAAAAGTTAATTTTTAATTAAATTTCCTATACAAACACGTTTCACATAAAAGTTATATAAAAGTATTTTGTAAACAAAAAACGGGCCAATCAGAACGTAACAAAGATATCGTAATAACAATACTGTGGGTTAAAACCCATTTTTGTTAGGTTCTATTGGCAATAATTATTTTTAATTTTCTTAAGCAAATAATGATTTCCTTATTAACAACCGATTGACGTCTTTTCGACCTCTTTTTTGAAGACGTATTTCCACGTCTTTCTTTTGGCTGATTATAAAAAGACATAACAAGTCATTAAAAAGACGCCTTTTATTCGTCTAAAGATGTCTTTTTTCCCACTGGGTATCTTATGCTCCACAAACTTTCTGTTTATGGTATCTTTAATATGCTTCTTAATTGGATAAATTCTTTTCTTTTTAGCAGAACACGAGTTGCAATGGGTTCTACCACTTCAGATTGGTTACCAGTCACCAGTGGTATCCCGCAATGATCTGTTCGAGGGCCTCTTCTATTCATCTTATACATTAATGACATAACAGACCTAGTTAGCTATCCAATGAAGTTATACGCTGATGGCAGTGAAGTTATTTCCACAAATTAATTAAAAAACAAATAAAAAATAACAAAATTTCTCAACCAAAGTATATATATATATATAAAAATATATATGTACATATATATATGTATATAAAAGTGTATATAAAAGTTAAAATAGTTTCATCTAGAAAGTATAAAAAAAAGTGCATACAAATTTATTTGTTATAGATGTTTACATATTATTATATAGATATATTATTTATTAGATAGATATATTATTTATTAGATAGATATATTGTTTATTAGATAGATGAGCAGTGATATTATTTATTAAATAGATGAGTGATGTTGACGTCAAGTAAAACATATATATCTAGGAATCTTTTGTATTACTTATGGCACATTACACTTTATGCATTTAAAACATTCAAACCAATCAATCTTTCATTTGTTTTTAGAAGATAAATGCCAATCAAGACCAGAGTCGACCAGGAAATTGTCTAGTATAACATTTACGTTTGGTTGCTTTTCTTATTATTTCAATATGTTTATAACTGATGTTCAAAATATATTAGTGTAACTTATTTAGAATCAAACAAACGAACATGATTCGTCGTCAGGTAAACAATAAAAAATATTTACTAATTTTTTACTGTATGCATTTGAAACATTTAAACCAATCGATCTTTGATTCGTTTTTAGAAGATGAGCGCTAATCAAGACCAAGACAAGAGTCAACCAGGAAATTGTCTAGTATAAAATTTATATTTGGTTGCTTTTCTTATTACTTCAATGTGTTTGTAACTGATGTTTGAAATATATTAGTGTAACTTTTATTTAGAATCATACAAACGAAAAGATGCTTCGTCATCAGGTAAACAATAACAAATATTTATTAATCTTTTACTTTATGCATTCGAAACATTCAAACCAATCGATCTTTGATTCGTTTTTAGAAGATGAGCGCCAATCAAGACCATACTATTACATTCATACAATGACTACATGCAGTTGAATGACTATGTTCATATGGTACAGATGCAATGTTGCTAGGCAACAACATCACACTGGCAGGAGTATTTTTTAAACTTTTTAGTTCAGCTGACTCTTGAACATGAGATGAAGTTGAATAATTATTTTCATCCAAACAATGGATCTAATATGAAATATGGAGAATTGCCGTAAGAGGGATCAAAACAACCTGTTGGTGACAGCATTAATTCCATTCAATGATATGCCTTGTAGTTTATCAATCATTTTCATGCAGTGTTTTACTAAAGGTCCTGGGTGATTTACTAAATACACAGGAATGTTATTACTATATTTTCTATAAGATGAGTGTGCTCTTCTATTTTCATCCACATAGCTAAAATAATAAAAAATAATTAAAACTATGCTACAATAATATTACTAAAGAATAGTAATAGTAACTACAAATATTTTTGATTTGATATGATGTAAGTAACGGGATAACTTATGCTAAATTGAAAAACAAAATTTCTTTTTAATAAAGCTTAAAACTTTTTATTATTATTATTTTTTTCGGTTTCTGGAATTTGCAAGCTAATAATTTTTTGAAAGTAAAAAAAAAAAAAAAACAAAGCCTTATTTTTGGCCAAAAAGGAAAAGAAGATACTGTTTTCAAGCATAAAAAAAAAAAGTTAAACTTGTTTTTAATGACATGATTTGTTTTATTTGTCTTACTAGCCTTACTATAATATCATTACTAAGTATTAATTAATAATGGTGTAAGTAGATTAACTAACTTGTCATAATTGTGAGGTAGGAGTTCATCAATGCAAATACTTAACATAGCTGTGAGAGATGAGCTTTTTCTTCTTTCCAAGAAACTATATTTAAATGATTGATTTTGCCTTTCAGTGCCATTGTTTGTGTTGACATTTCGCAAAAGGCAATGTTGCCGGAATGGACACCTATCTCTGAAAAAGATATAAATGAAATGTTACTTAATTCCCAGAATATTTAAATTGCAGGACTTTTCCAGAACTTTAACTTCAAAAACTCAGTGAAGCAATTTCTTAGACAAAAAAAGTGTTACATTTACTAAACTTATTTGGCATTTTAATTGTAATAAAAAATCAATAAAAGATTAAAATACCCAAATTAAATTTTTTTTTTTTAACTTTGATTGATTTTTGTTAACCTTAACTTATCATTTTTCTTTTATCAAAATAATTTTCACTACAGTTGCTTAAAAATTGAGGGAGTAACTCCTTATGTCAGCTTCTGTTTATCAAGAGACTCCTTCTGAACGAAACGTGTTCTGCATATTTTAAATATTTATTTAAAATAAAAATATACTAGAATATATTAAATTATATTTATTAAAATTATATCAATTTTTTTGTAAATCACACCTATAAAGTCTTTAACTTATAAGTTAAAGACTTTATAGGTGTGATTTACAAAAAAATTGATATAATATTATTAATATTGATATAATAAACTTATAAGGTTTTAAATGGTAAATTATATTTACCATTTAAAACCTTATAAGTTTTTAACTTTCACATGATAATTAAAGTTTTTCTGAACTTCACAGATATGCTAATGTTTTGAAGTTTTTATCTTCGAAACTCAAAAATATTATTTTAAAGAAATGCCAACATATATTTGAAGAATATATTTTGAAAAGTCCATTATTTTTTACAAGATTTTTCATGAAAATTCAAAAACTCCTTGAATTTTCAGAATTGTGCAGGACTACCCAAATTCCAACACTTAAGGATTCTCCAGGACTTAATATTAACCCTACTATTGGAAATCTCCAAAACTATAAAATTAGATTACAAAGGCTCAATAAAATAATTTTTTAAATTACAATTTAATCACATTTAAACTAACCTTTTGGTTGCATAATCAAGTATTATTTAAATATTCTCTTAGTTTTGGGTGATTTTTCCGCTCTTCTGTCTCTTTGAAAGCATTCACAGCATCTTTGCAAATCTCTTCTGTTTTTGCATTGGCAATTTGGCGAAGTTGTAACTTAACTGCATCTTTCACAGTGCAACAGCCATTATTGGTTTTAGAAAGCCATCTTTCCCAAGCTTGCTCTCGGTAAAAATCGCAAATTAGGACACTACATCCTAATAAAGTGAACTTATACATGAAATTATGCTGCTTAAAATTTTAGAAAATCTTGAAATACCTATTCACAAAGTCTTACCTGAAAACACATATTCAATTGAGTTTATTTCTTCGTTTGAATAATCAGTTAAAACAAATTTAGGCTGAAATAAAGGATTGCACTGTTTAATGCACGTCAATATTTCAGTGATAGCTTCAGTTGTTTTGTTTTCACACACAAAAATTGCTACAACTTGGTAATCCGTGTTTGTTTTAACAACTAGAAAAAATAGAGGAAGAGCATACCTAGTCAGTATACCTAAAGTAACGCTTTCTTTATGAGGAATCTTACTTAAACCAAATTCAGCTTCAACAAAATAATCAAGATGTCTTCTCATTTCTGGAACAGTGTTGACACCCTTTTTTACTAACTCTCCAATTTTAATAATGAGAGTATCAGAAAAGGGTTAACTAAGACTCGCTGTCTAAAAATATTGCAAATATATTTTGCAGTTATAAACAAATTGAAAAGAAAATTAACAATAAAATTCATTTAATCTATTTTAAATTGAATATTAAATGAAATAAAAATGAATGCAAAAATTAAAATAAATTACAAAAACCTGTAATGTTACTTACCTCTCCTATCACATAGTTTTTATGAGCAGAAACACCTGGCAATACTAAAATGTACTTTCTACACATAATAAAATTTCCTTGGGTAGAAATAGCTATTCGAAGCTTTTTCGACATTTCATTTCTTGACCATGTTGTATCTCTAGTGAGCTATGAGAATAAAAAAAATTTATTGAAAAATACATTTATAGAAAATTTACTAAATATTTTTACAAAATTATTATTTTGGTATTTTTATTAATAACTAAATCATTTAAAATATTTGTATAGAAATAGTTGCTCAGTTGTTGTTCCATATAAGTACATGTTAACATACATGTACATGTTACATTTCATACATATACATGTTCAACATTAAATGTGGTTAATGTTTTTAAACAAAATGTTTTTTAAAATTAGTGAAAACGTGGATAAGATAAAGCATTAAGATACCTTAAACTCTGGAAATTCAACTATTTCTTTTATATGAATCACGGCTGGACAATCAAATTTTTTGGTATCCTGGAGAATAACTTTGTTATTTTGGTAATAATGATCTTTAGCCTATAAATTATAAACAAAGATATTACTATAAACAATAAGATTTTTTTATCGTTACAAATAAAGGTAATTAAAAAAAAAATATATATATACAGGACCCAATTTGTATATTATGGATATGCAATTATTGAAGTATTATCAAAAAAAGAACTAAATAAAACACTCTCACAATTATACAAAAAAAATTGTTTATAAACATAGCACCATATAAATTATCAACATACTGCTGCATCGTTTTTCTTTTTTCTGTACTTTTCTTTTGCTTTAATATTCCTGTCTATTCCTTGTTGACAGTCAAGACAAGTATGCGCTGAAAAAATGAATGGAACCCCAATGTGGGGGAAATCATTATCCTCAAAAAACACTCTGTGATTCTTCTTCAAGAGTTCTATATTAAATAATTTGAACTACATACAAGATTATTGTTAAACAGAACAAATTAAAAATACACTAAAAATTAAAGCAGATAAAATATCATCTACAATAATTGTAGATTATATAAAATTATTGATCTATTGTAAAAAAAGTATTTTTTTTTTAAATAACTGTGTATGCCAACCTTCAAATTTTTATTCCATGTTTCCAGTGTGAGATACAACATAATGCACTGTGTGCGATAACTCATGCTCTTTTATTTTAGCACAAACATCTGAGTACGTTAGTAAAATGTGTTTTTCAACAGCTACAGTCAAATTGGCTGTCCCTGCAAATAGTGTAATAAAATATTTTGTTAAAAAGTTATAAAGAAAAGATCTTTACAGTGTTTACGACTTTTCCATGTCACCCTTCAGGTAAATGAATTGTTGTTTATGTCTTCTGCTAACATTATGAGTAGTCAGACATTTTAATTTAGAAGAAAAAATGCTTCAAAATGCAACTACAATATTTAAAACAACATTTTATAAATATTAGAGTCTAAAGTTACTTAGAGTTAGAAGAAAGATAAGCTTATAGAGTAAGAGAACAATTGTTTTTTATCAAGATTCAAAATTTTATATATATATATATATATATATATATATATATATATATATATATATATATATATATATATATATATATATATATATATATATATATTAGGTACGTGACATTTTTAAATTGATCAAAAATTATCAAAATTGAACAATTCTACAAAAAGTTATGACATTTTAAGTTTTTTTAACTTAAAACGTCATAACTACATACTACATAACTACATAACTATCAAAATACATACAACTTGGTATCAAAAGAAAGGACTTACAAAGGGCAATATCTATATACAAAGTATGTATAAAGGGTGCTAGAGGGGCGTCTAAAAAACACTTTAACATGTTAAAAAATGTTGATTTTTGTAAAAAAAATATCAAAATTTTATTTGTATTTTTTAAAATATTCAACAGGGTACTATCAAATATAATTTTGATACTTTAGGTTAATAGGCTAGAAGTTTTTCGAGTGCACCCTTTAAAGCTGTAGCTGCACCCTTTAACCTAACTTCAAGGTCATTACTTTGTATTTTCATATCTAAATGCATACATTTTAACATCAAAAGAAAGAATTTCAGGAATAGACGCGCAAAGAGGGCACAAAAGAGTACTACTTTGAAGCTCTCCACCCCTTACACCTAGGTATGGTGGGTTAAAACTCAAATATCTTTTTATAAAAATAAATATTATTTATATGAAACACAAATTTTACATAAAAAAAACAAACTCATAACTATATACAAAAACTTAATATACAAAAAGACTATATACAAATATAAACATAATCAATATATACATACACACTATACATACACCTATTAATAGGTTAATATAGATTCACTAAAAAGTGAATCTGCACTTATTAATAAGTATATGTATAGTTTTATAAAAATCCTACCAAGAATTTCCTTTCTTTTAGCTGAAAATAAAAAAATTTAAAATTATTTTTGTTTAGTATAAATTCAGTAAAAAACAAAAAGTTACAAAATTATTTAAATATATTTACCAAGCTCCTCTCTTTTGCGAGCTAAAAATTACAAATTTTAAAGAAACATAGGCAATATTACAGCATTTAGTTAAAAACTAATTAACTAACTCTAAAATTAAAATGAAATATTTTTACCAATCTGCTGCTTTATTGCCGCTAAAATAAAAGTGAATTCAAAAGAGTCAATATTTTTTAGCATTAAATAATAAAAAAAACAACAGGGAAAATCAACTTTGATACCTTTTCTAAGTTCCAATTCTTTTTTTGCTAAATACATATCAACGATTTTAATACACTGTGTAAAAACAAACTTTTTCTTACAAGCATAAAACAGATTTTATATCCTAAAATATACCTATTTCATTCTCCTCTTTTTCTAAATACAATAGCTGATAAATATACATACTCTCATCAAAATTTACATGCTTTAAATTTTGGTTGGGGAAGACTGTATATATTTATTTTCTTATATTTCTTTAAGAAAAAAAAGTTAAAACTGTTTGGATCACATGCCAGAAAAAATGTTTAGATAATACATACACACACAGATACATATATATATATATATATATATATATATATATATATATATATATATATATATATATATATATATATATATATATATATATATATATATATATATATATATATATATATACCCATATAGTGTAGTCGAAAGAGCGTTTTAATGTAAAAAAAGTCTCTTACAACTACAATTTTAATTACTTCGTCTCTTAAGCTGTTTTTGATTGTCATCGAAATGTCAAAGCAATTAATTTATGCGGAAGTACATTAAATTTAATTGTTTTTTAAAAAAATATTAAAAAACCGCGATTATAACGACTAGAAAGTGTTTTTTTTTTGTTATTGATTTAATAAAAAACATTTTTAAAACACAAAGATACAAAATATTTTAGTATTCCCAACTGCACATAATGAGAAGAACATTCCCTACGGTATGTAATGAGAAACTCTATTATCACTGAATAAGGAAAAAAATATTGCAGACTAGCATTTTTGAATTTCGAGCCTCATTCTAAGGGCTACAATTTGTTAATAAATACAATAAAAAAAAATTGATAATCGTCTTAGAGTCCTTGGTTCCGGATTAGGTCACATATTATTAAAATATCTCCAGTAAGTATTTATAAATATATAATTAGTAAATGTATATCAGTAAAAAAATTTTACTAACTCACAATAGTATTTTTGTCAGTTTTTGAATATTAACTATTATTAGAATACTAGCAAAAAGCAATCCGTAATACGGGTTTTGGTCGGTCTGTTACATAATTAATTTATAGTGGCTGTTTTCCACAATTTAAGTTGTAAAACCTTAACTAATACCCTTTTAGAAAATCGCCTTAAGCTTGAAAAAATTAATCCATCTGTAAAATTAACAAAAAAAGTATGAAGAGGTAAATTAAATTACTAACTATTACTTAACATTTACAATTACTACTTAATATTATTTGAGTAATTTACAACTGACATACGTCATAACAGTTTAAGGAAGAACCATTTTCATCGACCTTCAAATTTCAACACAATATGTTTTTAGTAACTGACACAAAATAATAACACTTCATCATGCTTTAAATTGACGAAAGTATCAAAAAGCGTAAATGTTGCTACATCGACTATCTTATAGCCTGACTCGCAACGGAGTGCTGCTACATCGACTGACAAATAGCCTGACTCGCAACAGAGTGCTGCTACATCGACTGACAAATAGCCTGACTCGCAATGGAGTGCTGCTACATCGACTGACAAATAACCTGACTCGCAAGGGAGTGCTGCTACAACGACTGACAAATAGCCTGACTCGCAAGAGAGTGCTGCTACAACGACTGACAAATAGCCTGACTCGCAAGAGAGTGCTGCTACATCGACTGGGGGTTTGGTTTGGCCAGGCAGTCTATCAATAAAAAAAAAATTTAATTTTTAAAACTTTTTCTGGTCTGGTTTATTAACGCGCTCTTTAAAACTACAGTTTATGGGAAACTTTTTTTGATGCCATGCAAGAGACATGCAAGAGTATATATATATATATATATATATATATATATATATATATATATATATATATATATATATATATATATATATATATATGTATGTCTATATAAATACTTATATAAACATATCAATAAAATCAAAGATAATAAAAATAAAAAATTACCTTTTAGGAATTCTTGCCTCAGAAACATAAGATCCGTGGTTCAAACCCCACCTCTGGGCAAGTTTTGCGACATCGGTTGGGAAGGAGGCATGAACTTCCCATTATATGATCTTCCGCGGTGCTCTGTGATAAGACCGTAAAGATTTCTTGGGGCACCTTAATCAACTTAAAAAAAAAAACTCTTTATCTGTATAATCATTATAGTAGAGATCTTAAAAAGAATTTTATATTTAAAGCAAATTAACAAATAAATTAAGGTAACCGTGAAATCAAATCACCTAATGGAGAAACATTAACAATTAAAACAAACAATAGTAAACAATAAGATTGAGTAAATTAACAATACTTAATAATTACATAATCTAAATAATCCTTTTCTTGTAAATAACAAAATGACAAAACAAAACCTACGTGATAATGATAATTGATAAATTGTTTTTTCATTCATATTTTATTCTAATCTAAATACACATTTTTTCATAAAAAATATTTCACTAATAAATATTTTACAACATAAACACTCGGGCAACACTAGCATTGAATATAGATAGCTACTTAGATAAACACAAAAGTAATGTTGTTTATATTGTGTATTCTTGTGTATAAATGCTTTATTCTATTTTGAATACCAACAAAAAATAAAGACACTTTAAAAAAATATATTTATTAAAATTAAATAATTTTTTATTTAAATGGACATTTTACAAGCATTGATTTAACCCTCTATTGGGTGCAGTCATTTTGTAACTTGAGAAGGCATGTTGAATCAAATCATACAACACGTCTGAAACTGTTTTAATAAGAATACTAGATTGCAAACTAAAAATTAAAAAAAAGCAACTGGGTAATAGAAACTAGAACCATTGAAAAAGGTGTTATCATTATAAAATGTACTCTAACATTCGATTGCTAAATTTTAGTGGACCTATATTGGCATATATCCAGGACCGCTGGAGGGTTAAATAATTGTCTTGGCTTTTAGTAAATGATTAAAATACTAAATTCCATCTATATAACAATCATTTTTAACAATAGACACCACGTGAAGGTAAGCCAGAGCCATCTATCAAAAAAGTGCAAGTCAACACTTGCTTATGCTAACTAACTTACATGCCACAAATGGAAGCTAAGCCATGCTTACAAACTAGAAAAAAAAAGAAAGAAAAAATGCACTAGTATGATTTGTATCATTACCAACACCATAATCCTTGCAAGCAATTATGTATATTGAGCATTCACTGATTTAATTTAGATATTTAATCTTATTTCAGCTATATCTCATAAATCTAGTAAAGATGTATAAGGTAACCCTAAAGGCTTATACCATACTCACTAACGGCTAATTATTATGCCATTATAACCAAGGTATAAGCAAATTATGTCAGCATTCCATGACATGTAAAATATTTTAAAAATACATGTCAAAATTCCATGACACAAACAAAACAATTAGGGCAGTCTGAACCAACACGATACAACCGTCCATGCCTATAATTTATTAAGGCAAAAACAATATCAAATGAAGCATAAACATTGTAAGCAAGTAACATGGTGTATTTAAATAATTATTTAAATAAAGTTTTATAAAACAAAACTTTGTAACGATCATAAACATTTAATCAAGAAAATATCAACTCTCCTGTAATGATATCTGCAACAAGCTGGAACTTTTTCATAGGATAATCAATAGCTTCAATTTCAGTTTTATCATATTTCCAGTAGGAAATACTATAAATTATATCTTTTTGTCTTTTACTTGATTTTTCAAGTAAGATATAATTTATCTGCCATCATACATCACAGACAACTATCTCTTCACTATCAATATTGCGAAGCCTTGCACTTGCAGTCTCCTCCTTTAGTGTCTCTGTAAAAGAAAGTGAGAAATACCTTTTACATTGTCGCTTCAAGACAACTTGCACAGCATTAAGACAAGAAGTCATTTTTTTAAGATGGTTATCAATAAAGCATATATGAGTGTTATTGGTTAGTAATGGAGCATATATTGATTTTAAAATGTTAGGGGCAAGAATATTCCCAAAAAAATCTGTTCTTCTACGAAACAGAGCAGCTGGATTAGATTTACAATTTGCAATTATTAGCAAAACCTTTTTCACTACCTGAATACCAGAAACATGATCAAAAGTTGCATCCTCAGCTGAAACATAAAACTTTTTTATCCAGGGCCCAGTAAGGAGTTTTCCAAACAATGCAAGCACGCACATTTCTTTTATGGCAGTTTTATTACAAAATACCCCTCTCAGAATTGCTTGCAAACTTTTACATTTTACTGTTCCAACAGTGAGGAAATGTTTAAACTCACTGTAATGCTTCATAAAAACGAAACAAGTATGAAAAAGTATATGAAGCCTATTTCCACGATATCTAGGAATAATACTTCGTGGTAGATTGTTTTCATCTAAAAAATTTACAAATCCTTTTGGATCACCTTCGACGTCTATAAACCTCATTTTGTTCATGGCTAAAACAATTTTAACTGCCATACAATCCTTTCCAAATAATTGGCAACTCTCACTCTCAAGAGACTGTAATGCTGAGCAACATGAAACTGCTATTGTGTCAAGAGGATGCAGATGGCAGTTCAGCTCATTCAAATTCTTGCCCCATGTTGCACAAACCTTGTTTATAGTAAGATGGTTGACTGCAACTCTGTCTGACATTGTGTTAGATATATTTTCAATAATCAAATTACGACATTCATTAAAGCTACTTTGTAAAAATCTGAATAAACAAATGCCATATAACCAATTGAAGTGCATATATGACTTTCATAATCAAATGCTGTTCCTCCTGGTAACTGATCTAGAGCAATAACAAGACATTTATTTTTAGATGTTAAGTTAATACTATTTATGTGGACACCTTGTGTTGTAGCATCAAATCCAAGAGTAAGATTATTATTATGCATAGCCCACTCTGCTGCTTGCAAATCTGAAATACTGCCAAGTTCACGAGCCATTTGCTTAACAGTACTTCGATGAGGAATATTATTAAAAACAACACCCATATAATGCCCTATTTTGCTCATAAGATATGGAATGTTACCTGTTGGTACATTACACAACATTATAAATTATCATTCTTATTTGTAATGAATATGTTTTATCATCTTCTGGCATAATTATATTTCTTTCCTCCTCAATCTGGAGCAAACCATTCTCCAAACTAGCAATTACCCTGTTACTTGTCAAAACAGCAGCATTATGCTTAGTTTTGAGTTGCTTTAACTTATGCTTTTCATATAATTTCAAAGCTTTTTTTTCAGCTTTAAAGTGACCAATCTGCTCACCGTAAT